CAGTGTCCATTCTTTTAGCAGGCTGTGGGCCTTGGCAAATGCCACACGGTTTTTTAATTGCCTTTTGTTTAGTGCTGGTTTCTGTGCACTGATTCGACCATGGAGGCCATTTCGAGACAGAATTCTACAAACTGTTGTGGTTGACACAGGGACTTGAGGTGACCAGGCCTGGTGGAGTCTGCTGCAGTGGAAAAGGGCTGGCCGTGGATTTTCGAATCAACAAACGGTCCTCCCGAGCAGTTGTCTTGCGGGGTCTGCCGGACCTGGGCTTGTCAAAAACATCTTCAGTCATTTCAGATCTTTTTCTTATTCTTTGTACTTGACGCTGAGACACATTGAAGGTGTCAGCCACCTCAGCAGTGGATCTGGTCTTCAGCCTCTTGATAATTAACGCTTTGGTCTCAGGGTGGATCTTAGGCATGTTGTCAGAGGTCAAGTTGCAGTTGATGTGAAGGTCTGGTGTGCTGGGGTTCTTTTTATACACACCTACTAACTGATTGATCAGTAACTGATCACAGGTGAGGCTGAAATCTAGGATTGGGTGCATCATATGACAAGGCAACAAGACTTTTGTCTTTCCAAAATCTGACCTTTCTGTGTTCATTAAATGATCAATCTTTTTTCAGTGAAGCAATTTTTTTTTAGTATATTGAGCATAATTTGGGAGGGTTTTAGCTTTCATATGAAACATTTCTAAAACCAATCAATTAATTTAAAGTCAGGTTATAAGCTTTTGTTTCTACAAAATGGATAAGCGACAAGACTTTTGTCAGGGACTGTAGTGCTATAGGGACGTAACACCTGATTTATGTAAGTGTGCAAGAAACACAAATGTTCAAATATTTTCATATTGTCAACATAAAACTTGTGTCACTTGTAGACTTACTTATAATGTGTAGAACTCAATTCAGAGACACACATGTCAATCTGGTGTGAGCCGGTTAGCCCACTGCAGCCCATGGACACATATTATATCATTTTGAGGCTTTGTTTAGTAATGGTGGTAATAGTAGAAATGTCTACATCACATGTCTACCATCAGACAGCCTGATGTATTCCTTTAAACAATTTCTCATTTGAATAAATAAATACATAAATAAATTACCATGACCCTCTGAATTGAAATCCAAATAAATTTCCATTCCTTCTTGATTTCATTTTTTGTTTTTGTTTTGTTTCATTCATTTAAGATGGATGTAAAATAATTACATTACATGCATAAATGTGAATGAAAAGGAGCAGAAACTTGCAACATCTGCCCATTTTTCACATAAGAACAGCTCCAGCTGACTGAATGTGCGGCACAGCTAATTATTAAAGTGACATTACACATTAAGAAATCATGAACACCAAAGTTACTCTGCCATCTCATATTTTTATAACATGATATTTGTCATTTCTATTTAACACTTGAATAGATTTTGTTCCATAGGCAGACACCTGGTTGAAACACATTTTTCCATCATCTAAACCTGGGTTTTTGAAGACTTCAGATTGTAAATCTTTTTTGGAGATATGGGGAAAGCTAGCATTTTGTGGAACTTCAATTCATACCAACTTTGTACGCTTTAAAACATAAAGTTGAGGCTTGATTGGTGTTTGTGTTAAAACATCAGTGTGTGGAAGGAATTGTCAAATCATCTTATATTGAAACCCAGTCAAACTCCACAAGTTTCTGCCCAGTCTTTGGTCAGAAGACATGTCTGAGTACTCTAGTATTCCACCTTTTTTGGTTAGCAGAGCCTGTTGATATTGATTTAAGATTTATACTGATCCAGAATGTCATATATTATTAGAACATAATAAGTTCTGCTTTGGGATACACATTGGTAACACTGCTGTATAATTGTATAATCAATCAATATGGAACAAATATGGAACAAATAAAGTGTATTTGTTCCAGATGGGCAATTTAAGCACATTGATCTGTAAAATACAAGTAACATCTCTCAGGACAAAATTGTCCCTCCACATTGTCTTGAAGTCCACATATCACTGCAGCCTGCAGGGGGAGGCAGGTGAACTCTGGACTGTGTGAAAGTGTCTTGTCTCACTCGTCTTTGGCTCTGTTGTTTCGGTGTACAAAGTAGCATTTCAGAGTTAGTTGGTTAGCATAGCTACTCCTTGGAGGGTCATCATGGAAAAAAAAGAAGAAAAACTTGGGGCTCTAGTCATCTTTATGGCATTAATCTTTCTAAAAGAATCATCATTTGGGGGGTGAAGATGTCTTAGTTTAAGAGCACAAGTATGTAAAGAGCACATGTATGCAGCTGGGGTACAGTACAGTGAGTGTTTAGCAGCGTGCTGTTACACTGACCTCAGAGCTCTATACACGTCTACAGGTCAGGGGGAAGTGCAGGTCTGCAAGACAATCCACAAGGAGTCTGTTTTTCACAGACACTTGTTCACATGCAACCTGCATGTAACCTGCTCAAAATATGTGCCAAACAATCAACATTTCTAAGCAGTTTATTAAGAGTAAGTCAATTAAGTAAATGAACAGTGTTTAGCAAAAAGCTGTTGGGATCGTTTACTTTTTCTGCCTAATCAGTACACTCTAATGTTAATTGACAATACACAAACTTGCCGTTTTTGAATCGCCATGAGACTATGGTTGAGTTATTCAAATAAAACCAAATAAAGAAAAAATATATATAGATGTAAAAAAAAAAACATTAATTGCTTAATTAATCTTTAGCTTGATTAGCTGCTAGCCCATGTAACTACAGAAATTCACTTCTACCATTAATCTGGAGTTTTGTGAATCCAGTAAAAGGCTCAGGCTTTTATCTCAGTGTGCAACAATAATACACAGTCTATAAAACTCTGATCAAGTTTGTTCAATGTGACTCATGCTGTTAGTTTCTATGGGAATTCTCTGCACGATCACTGTCAGTACGGGGTTTGGAGGTGCATGCTGGAACTGTGTAACGACAACTGCAGGAGCTCCAAGGGGACTGCTGACTACACTTGGAATCTTTGTGTCTGAAATGGTTAATGTGTTGAATCTTAGACCAATATATAAAATGGATACTATTTATGAAAATGGCAGCTTTGAAAATAGGCAAAATTATGGGATATAGTGTAACTATAAAAAGAGAACTCATATAAAATCACATCTTATCTCTTTCCTACATTCAGGCATTCAATGATGTTTATGTCAATGATGAGATCAGAGAATGAGCACTCTACCAGCAGAGCTCTGGCTGCTGATAACACTGTAGGTCTTTAATCAAAAGGTAAAACCATTTTGCACACAATTTATTCTAATGTTACATTATAATTTGTTTGTTGTTTTAAACTGAACTATTTTGCTGTTCATTTCAAATAGTTATGTGTTCCGTCACACTACGTAGATGTGGGAGAATAAGTTTTCCAAATCCAAAATGATTTCATTACAGGTCCCTAAACTTCTTTTAATCATTAAAACAATAACACTTTTTTCTTTTTCTTTCTTTTTCCTTTTTTTTTTTTTTTTTTTTTGGTTAGAGGGTTTTATACATATAAATAAAACTGTCTAAGCAGCTGGAGCTGAACTTTTCTACCATGTTATAATGTTCTGTCATCAAAAACATGCCTGAAGATGTTTTATTTGTCCTCCATGTGAATCCTCTTTACACTTAGCAGTACAAGTCTGTCCAAGACTCAGCTCACAAACCTACATCACCCATGCTCCCACTCGATAATTTTCCATAAATACACCAAGCAGGATTCAAAAAAATTTACTTGTAGAACTTCACATACTTGATGCAATATGCAGTAGTATCATAATGCAGAACACATATGCCAACTGTAATGTGCTCTGAAGGGGGAGTGACTTAGCACGGTGAGAAAATGAGGGGGGACTTTGAGCGTCAAAAACAGGTCAAAATAGGTTTACAGGTTTGTTTGCCATTTTTAGTTAAAGCCAAACTACATTGGAAAAACTTTATGAACAACCACATGAGCAAATAATACAGTCAGTTTAATGGTTTAAATAGTTGTTTTATTCCTTTATGTGTGATACATGAGCTTCATTCACAACATTACACCCAGCCTTAAGAGATGTGATATTTCAGCACTTTGTTCTGGAGACATAATGCACACTCTTTTAAACACTTTAAATAAAGGTTGAGTATTATTTACATATATAATATACAATTATAAAAGAAATGTTATATTGTATTGAAATGCTCACGTATTTAAAATGTTGTTTTTGAACACACTCCAGTACTTTTCATGTAACATGATTTAATTGTGTCAATTTCTCAGAAATAATACAACCAAGTCAATTGTAATCAAATGACCAGCCTGTTAATGACACATAATGCACTTCACAGTGACGAGGTTGTTCGTGATGAATAGTGCTGTATGCTAATTATTATGATGTCCTATTAAGAGCCAGTACACAACCGTAAGTTGTTTGTCGTTTTTCGTGGTCATCGCAAACAGGAAGAGAGGGACCACCTGTGACAGGAGAGCGGGGGAGGAGAGCAAAAGAGGGAGAGAGAGCCGAGCTGTCACTTGTGCTGCTTTTGTCACCTCTGCCGCCCGCAGAGAAGAGGACCGTGACTGCGCTGCGTAACGGAGCGAACACTGCTGGAGCGTGCCTGCTGTCAGCGGGGAAACTAATCACCGGTAAGACGCTCCTCGCCTTTTGCCTGTTTGCAAAGCCTGTCCGAGTTTCAAGATTCAACATCTGTTACTTTTACGTTTTACTTATAGGGCTTATATTGTTGGAGAGACGCTTTAACCTCATAATGCGTATTATAGTTGTCTCTTAGTGCACTTTGAATTGTTTTCTGTTTCGGAAAGTAAAAAGCCTACAGCAGCCTACTTATTAATATACAAAAAGTTGTATGTATTTTATTTTAGCTGATAGAGAGCGAAAGAGTGCGGATGAATTCCAAGGACATTTACGCACACAACGTCTCCTAAAGAGTCTATCTTTTTGTCCTTTTCAAGGCACAGATATGGCTCATCAGCAGTTGGTTTTTCAGTGAGATCCACAGGGCTCCAACATGTTCCACCAGCTCACAGACCCTGCAGCGAACGGGAGCTGCGCGGGACTCGGGGGTTCATCGTGCAACAGGAGCGTGACCGGAGACGCGCTCCAGTTGCCCACCTTCTCCACGGCGGCCAAAGCGCGGGTCATCATCACTTTCGCCCTGTGCGCCGTGTCCGCGGTGTGTAACCTGCTGGTCCTGTGGGCGGCTAATAACGGGAGCAAGCCCAAGTCCCACGTGCGGATCCTGATCATGAACCTGACAGTGGCGGACCTGCTCGTGACCTTTATCGTGATGCCTTTGGACGCGGTTTGGAACATCACAGTGCAGTGGCAAGCCGGGGACTTCGCATGCCGGCTGCTGATGTTTTTGAAGCTAGTGGCCATGTACTCGTGCGCTTTCGTCACGGTGGTCATCAGTCTGGACCGGCAGTCGGCCATCCTCAACCCCCTGGGCATCAGCGAGGCCAAGCGGAAGAGCAAAATCATGTTGACCGTGGCGTGGACGACAAGCGTGGTCCTGTCTCTCCCACAG